CCGGTGATCCTGAAAGGGGGTCTGTTGATGCGCTGGGACGGCGGGTTGCGTCGCTACAATATTGTGGTACCCACTGTCTTGAGGGGCAGTCATCTGGGCGGTGCATGAACGGCTCATGCACCTTGGCGTGCAGGAAACGCTTGCGACCGTTAAGCTCGATTTCTTCTGGCCTGGCATGTCGATATACAACGTGCTGAAGGGGTGCGTGCAATACGCATGTCGGAAACCCCCTCCAAAATTGGGCTGTCCGCCATTGCAATCGATCTCTGTGTCCCGCATAAACGAACTCGTTGCACTTGACGACCTGGGCCCTTATTGGTGGGGGTTGAACATTTTTCTCGCTGGCCAATGGCTTGGCCGCTTCTGAACCAATCAGCTACGGCTATTACTGAGGCATTCTTTAATGGATATGTACTAGATAAGGGAGCTCCGGAACACCTCCTGACGGATCAGGACAAAAAATATTTCGTCCAAATTACTGAAGGAAATGTGCGATCTGTTGGCCACCAAAAAGGTTCGCACATCGCCCTATCACCCCCAGACTGACAGCATGGTGGAATGGCTAAAAAGGACCCTGACGTCTATGTTGAGTCAGCGGGTTGACGAGTCACAATGTGATTGGGACTTGCATGTCTCAGGGGTTCTCGAAGCCTATCAAATGGGTACCTCACGCTTCCAACGGCTTTTCGCCATTTTTTATGTACGAGAGGGAACAGGATCCTCCGATTGATGTTCAACTTGACACGGGACGGTCTAAGTCTAACAGGAATATGCCTGACTCCATGCGCCTTAACCTCCAGCATGTGTCGGAAACACGGGAAGCTTCCAGAGAAAATTCAGCCTTACGGCAATCGGCAAATGAGAGGTTAAGGGGCTACGTGTGCAGGGGAGTGGACCCTGGGGGACAGAGCCTGGTTGCACTGACCTCAGGTACCGGTGGGTCCGTCCCCCAAGTCATACAAGCCATGGCGAGGCCCGGTCGATGTGATACAAGCTAACAGGCCACAATGTATGCAGATTCAGTTCGGTCGTCGGCGTTGGTTCGTACACCCGTTGCGCCTCAAACCATTTGTTGTGCCTCGCGCGGTCTCTTCATCCCCACTTTTCAAGGGTCGAGTGTCTGGTGTGTCCGACGAGCTGGGGCGGGCATCCGCTGAGGTTGTGCCTCAGGGAAGTTCTGTGATTTCACCCGCAGGATCAAAGCACCTGATGCCCTTGCCATCGCCGGTTGCGCCGGCCGCAGACGGACCACCAAAAGGGGAGCAAAAGTCGCCCACTCGTCCTCCTGCTGCCGTCAGTGATTTCCAGGAGAGGCCGCGCCCGTTAGGCCATCCTTCACTTTCCCCCGGGCCCTCCAAGGAGCTTATGCCAACCTCGCTTGGGGACCCGGCAACGAGGACTCGTTCAAAGACTAACCGGTTCAAATGACTTTTTCCCACCGTGTTGTTCCCCTTTGCCGCCTACCTTTTGCAACACTCACGAGTCAGGGGATTCATTGGCTGAACCTGCTTCTTCATGTGCTCGTGGGTGTTGCCACACACGCAGGCGTAGGGTCATGTTGGAGGTGGGAGGGGGTGTGAACTAGGCCTTGTATATTGCTAAATTTCCCTTGCTTTTTTTTCTTCTTTGGTTCTTTCGGTAAAGTCATGTAGAATGAGCATAAAATAATAAATTGATAAAATAAAATAACACAATAATGTTCTCACGACGTTTCGGCCACAACACAAGCGGCCTTCATCAGGTGAAGGGACGAGACTGTCTGGAGGACAGCGTTGTCCTCCAGACAGTGTTGTCCTCCAGATAGTCTCGTCCCTTCACCTGATGAAGGCCGCTTGTGTTGTGGCCGAAACGTCGTGAGAACATTATTGTGTTATTTTATTTTATCAATTTATTATTTTATTCTCATTCTACGTGACTTTACCGAAAGAACCAAAGAAGATTAATCCTTGCAGTCACGAAAGCTTTAAATCGAAATTCCCTTGCTTTGTTGTTGTTGTTGTTTTCGGCTCTGTGATTATTGTGCATACTGTGGTTATTTATTGTTGTTCGCTCCTCGGTTGTTCTTTATTGTTGTTGGGAGGCACACTCTTATCTTTTTTTGCAGATAGTGACACCCGAGATGGCTGTATATTATGAACGGGGGGTGATGTAGAGGGCAGCCACAATACCCAGTGGAAGGGGGTGCTGTAGTGGCATGACCCTGGAAATGGTGAGAGAGAGAGCACGTCAGGATGTAGCCTTTGGGTGAACCCGGGAGGACACATGACCGCATGAGGTGAGAGGGACACGTGATGAGGTACTAGAGCTCTCGAGAAGAATCTGGAATGGGGTGTGGCCAGGGGCGGAGCTGGGGCGGAGAAGCCGGCGTGGTCGCTGTCGTTGGAGTGCTGCTGAAGAGAGATGGGGCCCGCCTGCCAAGTCCTGGATCCTCGATCTTCGGGCGTGAGAGAAGTCATCGAGAGCTGGGCAACATGTAAGCTGGCCCGGCAGATTATATAGTGTTCCCGTGAGTGTTATGTAGCTATCCAGGGTGGTCACCACCCTTAGTCGTTATCCCGTGAGTGTAGACTTACCTGTGTTGTGTTAGTGAATAAAACGTGTTGCCTCCATACTCAAGAGTGCGTCTAAATAGAACCCACTACATAAGCAAGGCGATTCTGGACCATAATGCACCACAGAAACACTCACCGAGTTTGTGTATGGCAGTGTTCTTCACACATTTTTAGAGGGGGGGGTCACTTTCGCCACTAAGACATCATCAATGTGAGGGCCGCCACACATTTGAAACCATTGGGGGTTTGACGGCAGCATGATGATGATGGGTGGGGGGGGGGGTGTTTTGACTCTTTGTGTATTGCCGGGGGCCGCACATCCGGGGCGCACTAAAGGCCACCAGGGGCCTCTAGTGGCCCGTGGACCTTGCAATGAAGTGTACGGTTTTGCTTTCTTTGCATCTGATGGCATCCCAACGTTTATATTGCGTGCTTTTGCCATTAAAGTGTTGTAATCTGGCTGCGTTTTTTTTAACAAGCAGGACTGCTAATGAGATCCAGAAGTTCAAAACCAGGCAAAAGCTTCCTGGCTTAAGTGACTGCTTATGCTCCTGGCTAACATTGGTATGGAAAGCCGTGAGGCTGTTGGACTACATTTTATTTTTATTGAAATTACTCAAGATTGGAGTTCTGCTGTTGCCCATCATGCTCCGTGGGAATGTAAAATTAATGTGCTGGGTAATAATGGTTGTGATTTAAAAATAAGGATAACCATTTTATTCAAACCACTCTCTAACTTTGCCCCTTTGAAACCTTGTAAGCGATACACACCTGCCATGAATAATTATTGTGGAAACAACTATCAAGGGCTTTTTATTTTTCTCCAAAATTTATGATTATTTCACTTGAGCTGAATAATATTTAAAAACCGGAAGGCTGTACGTCTATTCTACGCGGGGCATTTAGTAAATGATCTAAAAAAAATTGAAATAATGTCCATGGCCACTCTTGCAAAGAACCAAGTGTGCGTTATTAAGAGGGATTGTAAAACGTTAAGTACCTCTCAAAGTACATCAATTACATAGCAGTTACGGTATCACACGATCCCCCACGGTTACCGTATCAAGGTTATGCATCACTCGCCAGGGAACCGCGTGACGGAGGCTCCAATCATATCCATGGAGATCCTTTAACACACAAGTTACGGTTGCCATGATATGACCGTACTACGAGATAAGATCTGCAGTCATGGTATCATCTGTTCAACGAATCAGCATTACATCATGGTTGTACGTATGTATGTTGAACCTCTTTCGCACTATACATAGACAACCGTGCCAATCGGAGGTGCGGGGGAAGGACAACAAATTTGACACAAGAAGCAGTTCTAAAGAAATTAGTTTTCAATCTAGATGGTTGAAAAGTGCATAGCTCCACTGGGTTCCTAATATCAGAAGGAAGAGACTCACAGAGACCTACAGAGATCCAGAGACTCATAGAACCATAGAGACCCACAGAGACCCACAGAAACCCATAGATACCCATACTCATACATATGTATGTTAAACTTCTCTCTCACCCTACGCAGCCAACCGGGCTAATCGGAGGTGCGGGGGAAGGACAACAAACTAAACACAAAAAAGCAGCTCTAAAGAAGTGAAATTTTAATCTAAATTGAAAATTTGATAGCTCGAGATGTGTGTTTGTGTGTTGAATTTTTTTTGTACCGTACGTAGCCAACCGTGCTAATCGGAGGTGCCGTTGCTGTAGAATATAATTGTATTTATTGGAAAAACATTGGAATAACTCAGTATTTAAAGTTGTATATCAATAACTATCATCTCTAAAATGTATGTAAATGTTTTCGAACCTTACAGACAGCATGGCAGTTATATGACATAAATAACTTCCTAGAACAGTTCATTGTTGAATTAGTTTAGTGTAACTGACAGCATGTGCATTAAAAGCACTATAGATCGCAATTACTATAAGGCTCATCATGGCAGGCTTACGTTGAGTGAAGTGCAGTTTAAGAACAGTTTACCTATATTCCCTTTAACAGCAAGATACAAAACAGGATAAAATTGCGACACACAATTGCAAAGTTACGGCATGATATATGTATGTATGTTGAACTTTTTTTCCACTGTACATAGGCAACCGTGCGAATCGAGGTGCGGGGGAAGGACAACAAACTAAACACAAAAAGCACTTGTCAAGAAATGAGTTTTCAATCTATGTGATTTCAAAGTGCATAGCTCCAGTGGCTTCCTAATATCAGAAGGAAGAGTGTTCCAGACGGTCGCGGGAGCGCATCTGAAAGCGCCACGTGATGCAGTGACCACCGTCTTTGTTCGATGGCTGAGCCAAAAAAAAACCAATATCACAATCGTCATGTCGTAAAACATGATATCGCGGCTGCCCCCGGAGCGACCCCCCAGCCCCCCCCCCCCCGTGAGACCCAGTAGGGCTGGGGGAGACGCGCTTGCGGGCCCGTGCGCACCGTACCGCTGAACGTGATGTTGAAGCCTTCGTAAGACATGGAGAAGTCAGAGACGAAGCGCAGCTGGGCCTGGTAGTTGCCGAGCGTCCCGGCGCTGAGAGGCGGCGGGAGGGCGGCGCCCGTGATCCGTGCCAGGGGGGACGCGAAGCTGCCACTCTCCGTCACCAGCAGGTAGTCGTGCTGGCTCTCCAGGTGCAACGTGTGGAACGTGAACTTGACCCCTGGCGGAGAGAGCGACGCGACAGATCGAATGGGCAGCGTGGCCACGGTGGTGGTGGCGCAGTGGTAACGCTTGTGCCTCACGTCAAGAAGGACCCGGGTTCGATTCCCGACTCGGGCACCTCTCTGTGTGTAATCCCCCTGTTCTGCATGGAATTTTTCTGGGTTCTCTGGTTTTTTGTTGTTGTAACTTTATGACCCACCACCACCAGACATTTGTGACAAAAAAGAGCTTCATAGCTCATCGGATTTCTCCAGGATAAATACGTTTTATGATTCTCCCATGAAAACAAAAAAACATACAATGTAAACGGTATTGGCCAAAACATTCCAATGCCAAAAAAAAGAAATACCTGCAAATGACTCAATTTGAATTACGCATAGCAACATTACCCCTGACTGCTGAAACTTGGCAGGACCGTCCTGAAAAATAAACTTGAGACTCAACGGGACTTTACTGGGTAAAGAAAGGAAAACGATCAAACAATCGTTCATTGGACATCTTACGACCATATGTGATGACATGAGGAATTCCTGCATGATTTTCTGCACATAAAAGTAAACTATGAACTGAAAAGTGCAACGTAGCTCGAATATTCATAATGCAGTGCTATATATTATGCACATTTTAATCATCTTTATTTTATTTGACCAGGTAAGGCCCACTGGCTATATAGCTCTCTTTCAAAAGCGACCTGGTCACACACGATGGCTCAACGAAGCGGCTTATCACATGGAAATTTGGAGCAGCGAAATACTCTAAACGCGTGACGTTTATTCTAAGTGTGAAGTGCAAAACTGGAGGACCCGGAGAAAAATAGACGCGACCACGAAGAGAGAGACGTGCAAACTCCAAATATACAGCAGGCGTCAGGGTCAGGATTGAAGCCACAACCTCCTCCATACCAGCTATACATGGGCAACCGCAGCAAGTCGATCGGCATTTTTCTTGTAGTGGAGTAAAGTGGGGGTATTCACACTTCTACCAAGATATTTAGCCAGCGGAGAAGAGTAGGGCACAATAACCACTAGAGGGGCTCTCTAGAGCTCCCTAAAGTGGAGGTCCTTCCATAAGCAGTGTCGTGAGTGAGCAATTGCAGGGCTGCACCTTTGCCTTTGAGATTAAAAATGGAGGCTATCTCAATGGATTTGGCCTGGATACTTACAAAATCACATTGCATCAATCATCACCATCATCATCACAATCCATGGACAGATAGCCCATACGTGTCCACTGCACATTTCATCATTTATTTCCACTTTCTTCTGTCTTGTGCTAATATCATGCTCAAGTAGAGGCCACATCTTTCTGGCACAATCTCTCATGTCGTCGTCGTCAAGCCATTCCCTGTGAGGTCTTCCTCTCTTCCCGATTCCTTCCATGGCTCCGAACAACACACTTTTAATGTTCCTGTTGTTGCTCATCCTACATGTGTCCAAAATTGGGACACATATTGCTTGCATCAATGTCTCCTTGAAATGCAGCTCAAATAAAATGCACAGCCTGCTGAAAGTATACCTTTATTGGAAAAGCATCAATTGTTGGCGAGATTTAATTTATATCTCAATTCTTGACAGGAACACGGTATTTTTTGCAAACAGCCCAAACCCCCAGGTTTGCCGGTGCAGTCGCCCATAATTCATGAGACTTGTGCCGTCAGCTCAACCTTCACTGCCGCGCCTTATGTGTTACGACGACATCGTCGTCAAGTGCCAGTGACCGTGCACCGAGAGAGTCAGCATGACCTTGCGGGCTGCACGGCGCGGTGCCCGATTGGTCACCAGGGGCAGCAGGGACGCCATGCCCACGGCGGTACCAAGCGCTGCTGGGGCCACTCGGCTACGATGGCAGAACAATTACGTGCAATCGGCTTAGAGGAACTCATATACTCCATTAAAACTTGCCAAGAAAAGCAAACGTTTACTCGAATGAGCTTCTATTTGAGTTTTTTTTTTAATATGAAGGCGAAACGGTACGCCTGATAAAACAGTGCAGCTTACGACTCTCGCGATTACAGTGCGCATACCACAGAGTCTATACATCATTTCTTAATCTGTGTTCCTTTAGAACTGCAAAGCTGAGGGAGAATAAATAATACAACTTAATCCATTACTAACGTAGTGCACGTACTTAAGTTTCCCATACGCTATCATTTTCCTTTTTAATAAATTATAATGCAGTAATATGCTAGGCAATCGAAATAAAGCACAGTGAAACTCACAAAATTTTGTAAATCCTAAACTTTCCAACACCCCCAATGGTTCCGTGGTAATATCTAAACCACCCCACCTCGAGTGCACCACCCCTGCCCCCCCTGCCCCCACCCCACCAGCCCCCCCTGGGTGGTGACAATCTCACATCACGCGCGGTCACAATCTCACATCAAGCACGGTCACAATCTCACATCACGCGCGGTCACAATCTCACATCACACGCGGTCACAATCTCACATCAAGTGCGGTCGCAATCCCACATCAAGCGCGGCCACAATCCCACATCAAGCGCGGTCACAATCTCACATCACGCGCGGTCACAATCTCACATCACGCGCGGTCACAATCTCACATCACGCGCAGTCACAATCTCACATCACGTGCGGTCACAATCCCACATCAAGCGCGGTCGCAATCTCACATCACACGCGGTCACAATCTCACATCACGTGCGGTCACAATCTCACATCAAGCGCGGTCACAATCTCACATCACGCGTGGTCATAATCTCACATCACGCGCGGTCACAATCTCACATCACGCGCGGTCACAATCTCACATCACACGCGGTCACAATCTCACATCACGCACGGTCACAATCTCACATCACACGCGGTCACAATCTCACATTACGCGCGGTGGCAATCCCACATCAAGCGCGGTCGCAATCTCACATCACGCGCGGTCACAATCTCACATCACGCGCGGTCACAATCTCACATCACGCGCGGTCACAATCTCACATCACGCGCGGTCACAATCTCACATCACGCGTGGTCACAATCTCACATCACGCACGGTCGCAATCCCACATCAAGCGCGGTCGCAATCTCACATCACACGCAGTCACAATCTCACATCAAGCGCGGTCGCAATCCCACATCACGCGCGGTCACAATCTCACATCACGCGCGGTCACAATCTCACATCACGCGCGGTCACAATCTCGCATCAAGCGCGGTCGCAATCCTACATCACGCGCGGTCACAATCTCACATCACGCGCGGTCACAATCTCACATCACGCGCGGCCACAATCTCACATTACGCGCGGTCACAATCTCACATCACGCGCGGTCGCAATCCCACATCAAGCGCGGTCGCAATCTCACATCAAGCGCGGTCGCAATCTCACATCACGAGCGGTCACAATCTCACATCAAGCACGGTCGCAATCCCACATCACGAGCGGTCACAATCTCACATCAAGTGCGGTCACAATCCCACATCACGAGCGGTCACAATCTCACATCAAGTGCGGTCGCAATCCCACATCACGAGCGGTCACAATCTCACATCACGCGCGGTCACAATCTTACATCACGCGCGGTCGCAATCTCACATCACGAGCGGTCACAATCTCACATCACGCGCGGTCACAATCTCACATCACGCGCGGTCGCAATCTCACATCACGAGCGGTCACAATCCCACATCAAGCGCGGTCACAATCCCACATCAAGCGCGGTAGCAATCCCACATCACACGCGGTCACAATCCCACATCACACGCGGTGGCAATCCCACATCACGCGAAATTCACGGATTTTTTTGGGCGCCGTGAAACGATCTCTGCCCAGAATTCGCGAGACACCACGAGGGAAATTATGATTTTGTTTGCAAGCGGTGCGGGACGGGTGTCTTTGAAGCCGCTGCTCAGGGGTGCACGTGCGCGGCAAAGGTGGCGTTCACGCTGCCCCTGTGATCTGCCGGATCTCTATTTAGGCGTCTCCACGTCCACGTTAAGTTGCACCTCTGTTCAAAGTACGTGCTTGAATGCAGCAGCCACGTTCCAATCACTCTCTCTCTCGGTGTGTGACTTCAACGTACATGCCACCCGCAGAAGGTGCCGTGAACCCATGCTGCGATGTGGATTTTTTTGTTTCTTTTAACTCATAAAATTTTCAGATACTTTTGGAGTCAACCTAAAATTAAAAAAATGAAAAAATTCCGTGATCTTTAGCCGTAAATGTTAGGAGTTATTACAACCGCAGATTTTTTTGGAGTTCCACTGTGCTACATTACAAACGCATAGATGGATAACATGGTTCAGCGACAGCGTGTTTTGCCATTTGTTGCAGAAGTTCGTGGTTTCGATCCACGACCTGCTTAACCGGTAACAATACACGGCATTGGGGAAAAGATCGCAACATCACCTTCGACTGTGAAACTTAGCACGATCCCGAAAAAAGAGGCTTGAGACTCGGTGACACTTTATTCAATAAGCAAGTATAATTAATTAAAAAAACTGATAAAATGGCATCAAAGCCAGTGGCTCCTATGGAATCAGGATTAAATACTGTACATACACTGCATTGATTTGTTTTTGTTCTAAACATAATGTGCTTCAGTGCAGACTGAGTATTAACATCAGCATCACTCTTCATGACTGTGAGATCGTTCTCATTTAGGGCCTGCATTATTAGAGAGGCCCTGCCAATTCGAGTCCAACCCTCCTGCTTCGTACGGATTCTTCCCATTGTCAGAGCATCCACACAAAATTAAAAAAAAAATGCAAACCGACAGGATGAAGTTTTTCCTTTTGTAATGGCTAACAGGAGTTGTAAAAAAGAAACACATTCCGTTTTCTATGATTTCTGACGGACAGAAATTATATTAGGACTCAAGGATCAACACAAACTGCAACTTTTTCCCAATACTTTTCACGAATTGCTGCTGCAGCCACATAACGCTGCGTGGCAAATTGGCGGCGTAAACAAAATATGGAAAACGGTGCTTCTGTTACATTTTAAATGTCGGAAATGTCACGATAGATTCATCTCGCTCATT